CCCGGTACTGAAGAAAGCAACTCGCAAATCAGAACAAGTGATATCAGTCCAAAGCCGCTTGCATTTTCAGACTCTTATCATCACCGTCACCTATACTACATTCGCGTCTAATACAAACTGCCATTGTCAGACATGATAGGAATTACAGACCAGTTTCCGGTTTTTCTCCTGTATCCCAGCAAGCGTACAGGAGATACAGTTCTCTATCACCTCCCCCATCTTCAAAGGGATCTCTCTGCTACATTGTCCATTACTTTCTCCTCGTACACACCATCACGAAGGCTGAATGAGCATATCTTCATCTCGATACCACACTCTGAACAGATGGGAATACCAACAATGCTGGCATGCACATCATTATGATTATCCTGCTCACTGGAAAACGTGGTACCACCACCAATGACAAGTATATCATCCACCTTGCTGCCTGGAACATGAGCCTATACACAGATATTCAGCCTTTCCCACTTTACACAGACGGGAGGCTACAACATCCCCCTCAAATACCCAACCAGTACATCAGCAAATCGACCCCAAGGAGGGGCGACTATCTGAGACAGAGGAACAGCAGCCAGACATTTCGCCGACCAACCAGTCGCCCTCATCTGCCGAGGAGGCAGTTATTCCTTATATTCGGGTACTGCTACACAGTCACCAACAGTGGAGCACGCATGGGAACATGACTCAAAGAAGAGGAAGTTACTCACCTTGGTGCAGTAATGATAATTTTTACAAATGTGTGTCCCTGTGGGTGCTCCACTACCCGCCCTGCTTCCTGCTTTGGAGTCTCTTATTATATCTTTCAGATACCAGGGCAGACTCAAACTGGTGAGACCTGGACCGCTCAAGAAATCAAAAGGGTGCAAACAGCACAAAGCAAACACTGTGCATGCATGGTCTGACCAACCACTGCTAATGAAGACTCCAATCTGTGGCGCCAGGACCACCCAACACCAACAGTGGAGCACCCACAGGGACGAGGGGTATTAGTTTGCTGCCCTGGACCTACAGGTCACATATTTTCACATGTCAATACATCCCTCCCACAGATACTTCCTCAGATTCACTGTGGGCAAGGACCACTTCCAATACAAGGTCCTCCCCTTCAAATTTTCTTCAGCCCCTAACGTCTTTTTAAAGATCCTGGCAGTGATAGCTGCTTATCTCAGACAGCAAGGTATGATCATCTTCCTGTACTTGGACAACTGCCTGATAAAAGGGCGATCTCATGCAGACACCACCAATATGGTCTTCAGGACCAAACACCTTTTTCAGTGTCTTGGTCTGCCCATAAATTAGCACAAGTCCACCCTAAAGCCTGTTCAAGACATAGAATTTATCGGGCCTGCCTCGATTCCTTGTCGGCTTGAGCTTTCCTTCCATGTCACTGTTTTAATGCGCTGCAGGACCTAGTATCCATTCATTCCACAAGCCCCTCTACTACCCTACTTACCTGCCTCAGACTTATGGGCCACATGACTGCCACTACTTACGTTGCACAGCACGCATGACTCCACTTTTATGCCTTACAAACATTAGCTAACAGTATACTGCACAAAGTTGTCACTGTCCCCAAAAGCATGTTGCATCCTCTGAAATGGTGCACATCATCCAACAGTCTCCTAGCTGGGGTCCCTTTCGATCAGCCCAGGCCAGCAATGCAGATCATCACGGATGTCCCTCTGCTAGGCTGGGGCGGTCACCCTACACCATCCAGGGCAGCTGGCTCTCCCAATAAACAGTATTGCACATCAACCACCTCGAATTCAGGGCTGTCAGGAACTCTGGCAAGCACTTTGCTGTGATCATTACCAATTCATTGGTGCACATGCTCACAGACAACAGGACCACCATGTTTTATATAAACAGACGGGGGGGGGGTGCCTGGTACCGGTCATATTGTGCAGAGGTAGTGTGCCTGAGGAACTGGTACATTTGCCACAAAGTCACCTTGAGGACATCATACCTACCTGGCGTGAACAACATTATGGCGGCTGCTCCGAGTCGCAGTTTCTTTATGGACCATGAATGGGGGAGACACCCAGGAGTCCTTGCCTTTGCCTTTCACAAGTGGAGCTACCCGTCAATAGACCTCTTTGTGACTTGCCATAACACCAAATGCTCCCACTTCTGCTCTCGAGCAGGGCTGGGCAAGGGATCAGCAGGCGATGAGTTCCTAATCGCCTGGAAGGAACCTCTCTATTATGCCTTCCCACCAATTTTGTTGATCCCGAGCGTCCTCCACAAAGTTCCGTCTGACTGGCTTGCCTCATCTTATAGCACCTTCCTGGTTGAGGCAGATTTAGTTTCCTTGCCTCTACAGCCTGTCCGTGGAATCACCAGTTCTGCAGCCTCACCATCACAACCTCCTCTTTCAAAATTGAGGCATGTTATTGCACCCTCAGCCCTGCACCTTCATGCTTGGCTCCTCTCTGGTTCCATTACAACAAGACCCATGATGCCAATAAAACACATTAATCCCTAGTTTTCACCGATACAAACCATTCTGGATTATGTGCTACACCTAAAACACGGGAGCCTGTCCATCTCCTCACTGAAGATACATCTCGCTGCAATAGTGGCCTTTCACGGCCAGGTTTATGGGTCATTGGTCTTCGCTCACCCTGTCACCAGGTGATTCCTAAAAGGGCTCACAAATGTGTACTCCCCCACCCTCACATAGGATACCTGCTCCTTCATGGAGCCTAGACCCAGTATTGGGGGGAGGGATAGCTCAGTGGCTTGAGCATTGGCCTTCTAAACCTAAGGTTGGGAGTTCAGTCCTTGAGGAGGCCATTTAGGAATCTGGGGCAAAATCTGTCCAGGATGGTACTCAGTCCTGCTGTGAAGGCAGGGGACTGGACTCAATGACCTTTCAAGGTCCCTTCCAGTTCTAGGAGATAGGCATCTCCATTGATTTAGTGTACTTCCTTCCTTATGAGACCTCCTTTCGAACCTATGGCTACCTGTACCCTTCCATTCCTATTGATGAAGGTGTTGTCCTAATTGCCATTGCAAGGAGAGTTAGTATGATTGTGGCACTGATGGTCAGGCTGCCCTACACCCTCTTCACAAAGGACAAAGTAACCCTGTGCCCACACCCCTCCTTTCTTCCCAAAGTCTGCACCTCATTCCACATCAATGAACCAATAGTGTTACCCATGTTTTTTCTTAAGTCCCATACATCTCCTAGAGACGCTATGCTACATACCCTTGACATTAGGTACTCATTGGCCTTCTACATTGACAGAACCCAACCCTTCCATAAACCTATGGCAATTAACGGGGGGGAAACCTATTTTTAGTGGTAATGGCCCCAAGGTGCTTAAAGCACATGATTAAGTTCCAGTTGAGTTAAAGGGGACTACTTACATGTTTAGATTTTTAACCTTGTTGAATGGGAGGGGCAGGAAGGGGGATTCTCTCTAAAGCTACTCCTAGTGAGGAGTATAGAAAAGGCTAAGTGTGCTCGTTTTTAATACTAGTCATGCCAACTTCACCATGTTTTGGAGCCTTCATGGTTTATTTTAACATCTAGTATAGTTTTTATCATTTCAAGTACTTGCTAAATTGTTTGATCTGTATTGTCCATATGAGTATAGCTTGGGTGCTCCTACTTTGTATGTTTTTTCTGTGGTATGCCATGTTGGTGTAGCCTTTTCAGTCCCAGATACAAGCTGGATACGGTAATATCTTCTTTGGACCAATTTCTGTTGGTGAGATACCAGCTTTTCAGCTGCATGGGGCTCCCAGACTTTGTTTTTCTGTTGAAATTTGAAATATTACTAAGTCAATATACTTGTGTTGTTATATTCTTTTTGTATTAGTCTGAATTTGTAAAACCTTATTGAAATATGTCTATTAAAATAAATATTTCTACAATAGTATCTAAACCCTGAGCTTGGTAATATCATGTAGATTTCTGGGAGTCAAAACAACACACCTGATGTTTTCTGGTGTTCAGTTTTATGATAATTTCAGTGCTACTCTTTCTGTAAACTAGTATCATACTTTGGGGGTAAACCTTGCTGTTACTACTAAATTCAAATTAGAAAAAGTGATTGAGGGAAGAGAGAACTTTTTGTACAGCTCACTATTTTAGAAATTAGCCATAATTTCATAATAAAATTTGTCATAAATAAGCTGGAAAATATAAGCATCTTAGAAGTAAACTACCATATTTATTCTCAGATTTTCAGTGTAACTATCAGATCTATACTTCCTTGGCACTGTAGCCCATAAAAATTACCGTTGGACTTTTTTACAATAGAAATAATTATTAAAGTAATGTCTTTCAGAAATCAGCTTGTAAGCTCTACTCCCAGTTGAGTTTAAGGCTCTATCTACTGGGCTTGTATCTTGTATCAGCTCCCAGTTCTTCCCTCAGGAAGAACTGGGAGCTGATATAAGATTTGTGTCTATATTATAGAAGAGGATTTTTTTATGTGAAGATAATGAATTTTAGCTGTCAGACTTGAGAAACAAGGAGAGAGCTATGCAAATACTTGATTTTTTTACATGCCTGAAAGGATAGTGCATTGACTCAACTTCTACTTACAGAATTTCTTCAGACTTTATACTTAACTATAGTTACACAAATGTTGTTTGAGTTAATTGCTGTCCCTGGTCAAGTGAGGCCTGCCACAGAAACAACTGCCTAGGAAAACCTGAAATGTATCTGCCTGCACTGTGTCCCGGAGGTTTTTAGTCACTTATTTATTTAAGCCCATATAGACTTAGTTTTTAAAACCATTGTCTTAGGGATGTTTAGAAGTTGTCTACAAATATGCTTTAATTTTCATTTGTTAATGTTACTGAAGTTTGTTTTCTTTTACTTTCTGTATTTACTGACTGCATCTTAGTTCATAGATTTTTTTCAGAAGTGTATACCATTGAGTATTGCACTTCTGGAAAAAGTAACACTCAGCCATTAGGTTTCTGTATTTATAATAGCTGTCAAGATTATAGTTGTATAACTTTTTATACTTTTTATTTTTTAGTGAATGAAATCATAGGAAGAGATATGTCACACATCCCAGTGTCACATGGACCAACAGTGGCCAGCCAATCTCCACATACATGCCCTGGATCTCTGGAGACAGGAATATCGGATGGAGTCTAAAAGTGGCTAAGCTTGCAACTAAATGTCCATGAAAGCTTTCAAGTTTTCTCTGAATATTTCTTCTCATCCCTTTCTCTTACACTCACTGTGCTTCCAACTCTTGTGGCCTTTTATAAACTGGAACAATGGACCCTTGCATAGCCCTTTTGGTGGGTTACATTTTGATGTACAGACAGAGCATTTCTAATTCTAGTTTCTCAAGTGCTGTAAAAATGATGGGGTAAATGGACACAAAGAAGCCAGACAAAATATTTTAACTATTAAAAATTACAGATGAGCTTTGCTGTTTTACATTTAAATTAGAATACTTTTATATTGCAAGTGCTTCAAGTGTGGAGATGTTAGTTTTGCTCTTATAATATTCACAGTACTGAATGTGGAGAAAAATCTAATACACATCTTCTGTGTGCTACTTTCCCTTAGAAGAGGTAGTAGAATTGTAATTGACAGTTTTGTACACCTTTGGTCATTCTGAAAGCCTTTAAGCTTCTGGTGTTTAAAAGATAACTTTTTATAATGAAATCTTCCAGAGGCAAAAAACCAAACCAGTCATCTTAAGCCAATGCCTTGGAAGCCATTGTGTATAAAAATACTTTAGTGTTTTCTTTCTTTGATTCATAGGAAGCAAAGCCAAATGTAGATCTGCACTTATTTATAAACGGGAATTGTTATTTGATAGGCTGCAAAGAGACCATTCCATCATGGAAGTGTTGGGATAGAAATGACATTCCAAAATGTAACTTTTATAGCTATATGGGTAATCTTCCTGTAAATTTTATTAGCACAGACTCCTTACTGAATTTTTTTCATAAAAAGGTAACATTTGTAGTCAAATTTGAAAACTAAGGTTTTTATTTAAAAACCTTAATTTCAAAGCCATGTTAGGTAAGGGGAAATTTTGGTATTTGCAGAGGATTTGTTTTTTATTCCTAAGAAATAATGTTTTGAAATACATCAATCTTCCATGGCTCTAGTATTTTCCATGCAGTAAATCATTTGCTTATATTCCTTTTCTATATGTTCATTTACCTAAATTATGCTACTTTGACATGACAGTTTCTTAAATTTGAACTGATATAAACATTTACCTGCTGTAAAGAAACTTACTGTGGGCAACTGCTTGAAAGGAAGTACATTTGAGTAATTTGCCCATAGTAAATTTGTAAAGCAGAATTTATTGCAGAGGAAAATAGTGAATGAGACAATGACCATGACATTAATCCTTTACAGTTTGTATGAAAGGATGCATTTTCCTCACCTGCCCACTTCAGCAGATAGTAATGTTTACATTGCATGACTTTTAAAACCTCAGTACTCTAATTAAAAGCCTAGGAGAGGATCTGAAACTGCTTATTTAGGTCTTGTTAAGTATTTCCCAAGAGGTTATAATTTACAGACCTGTCTGATGTGGAAAATACAGGGTATACAAAAAATGAGAGATTCATATATAGCAAAATATGATTAGAAGTTTCATACTTGAAGTTGTTTTTAGTCCAGGTTTCTGTTCTTTTGTTGAAACAGCCATTATTTGTATTCGTGAAAATGAAAAGCAAATACATTCATGTTTGAATGCCTATAAGGGAATGACAACATTGAATTGGTTCAGATATTTGAGAGTATTTACATTTCAATTAAAACATGTACAGGGCATGCCATTGCTTTGGAGAAATGAAGCTGTTTTGTCTATATATGTTCTTAAATTACAGTAACACATCAAAGAAAGTCTTAAATGGACTCCATTATTGAGGTCATTAAGAATAAAAACCCACTATAGTAAATATGGTGGCCCATGTATTGGCCAACCAGCCAGGGAAGTTTTACATAGAATTTTTTGCATATGAAATATTAATTTCTATATATGTTTAGATGTAATGTTCTAGCAATACTGTTAAAGGATATAGAATATATCTTTGTATTTGTTGGATCATGGATCTTTATGAAAGACCTAAATTTGAGAAGATGGTGGAAATGGAACTCTTTTAAGCAAACTTGTGCATTTTTTTAAAATGCTATCTAGGACTACCATGGTGATAAATCTTATTTTAATTACTGTTTTTCAAATAAGTTTATGTCAAGCCACTATACAGGTAGATTCCTTTCTGACAAACTGTGTTCTGGGAAGCTAAACAGTTAATGTACTGTACATTAGTGTAAGTGGCTCTCAAAATAGTTATTTTTGACCGTTCTGTCATTTGAAAAGAATAATTGTAACTGTTCCTCAGTGGTGCTTCTTTAGTTACTATCCCTACTCACATTAACTTTAAACATGCTAACACACTGAAGTGTTTAGAAGTGCAGTTAGCTATGTTTTTATAACACTGTTAAAATCACTGTAAGTTGTGTAACTGTCCATAGGTTGTGTGCTGGTGGCAAGGCATGTTCCAGTTTTCATTTAATGTAACAGGTCTGTTGAATTAACCAATATTTGTGGGAGGAGTCTAATTTCATGAGCTTTTCATACTTGTGTGGGTTTTGTGCTCCTAACAACTGTTCCAGCCTCTTCTCCTTGCAAGTCCTCTGAGTGAGTAGCTAGAATTCATACTATACCTAAAACATGGGAGCCCATACAATCCAGAGTTGCTATGCACTAAATCTTCTGATGCCTTTTCTGGGGGATAAGGCAAATCATCACATTTATTGGTAATATATATATATATATATATAAAAATCAGTTTTTGTATTTGCCTTGTAAAAGCTTCAGTACATAGAAGGGGTCTTAATTTTATTTTGTCTTGTGTGATATTGTAAAGACTGTTAAAAGCACACAATCTCCATTGGACTATGCAAATTTAATTTTACAATGGTACCTTGTGACTTGATAATTTGTTGGTATCCACTTTCTTGCTCTTCCTCAATCTCTGCTTTCCATATTTAGATTTAGATTTTAAACATGAAGGAAAGCCTTAATAATAGTCTGTCTTCTATGGAGAGAAGGGAGGATCAATGTTAAGAAGTATTTGGCACATTAGATGTGGGCCATGAAAAAGTAACTTTAATTTTCTGAATTTAACCACAAATCTGGCAATCAGATGTCCTCTATTAAATATATATATCAGTGGAACTGCCATCCTCTGTGAACCAAAGAAAAAAAATGACAATTTTGTTCTCATGCAAACAAAGCTTTGAAAGTCTATTTTTGATACACATAATGGATGTCATTCCTTGAGCTTTGGAAATTGTTCAAATTGAAGTTTTATATTTTAAAATGTGGGACAATTGAGATTAAGACTAAAGATTCTGTTCTAGATGTTTACAGAGCCTTGTATTGTAATTTCATGTACATTTTGTATTTAAAACATTTTGTAAGTTATGATTGCAGTGCTATTTGAGAAATACAAAGGGAAGAACTTGTATTTTAGCCTCTTAAATCATAGTGTTGAATAAATAAGAAAATACATAATGTGTCACTGTTTATTCAAATATATAACCTAAGTAGGACTTGAGTAAAATGAAGCCACTAGTCTTAAACTGCTGGATAGCTATGTTCTACTGCTCTTTGGAGTACTGACTATATGATACTTTTATTAATAACCAAATGACAGCATATTTTGGTACAAACTACCCCACAAATTAATTGGCAAAACTTTTGTATTAAGGAATAAATTATCTTTAGTAAAGCGTAATGGGAGAGCGCACAACCTATGAAGGTGCCGCTAATCAGGTTCTTGAGTATCAAGCTCAACCAGTTAAAGATGTTCCCATTTACAGTCATAAATAATGAAATACAGTAGTACACCGCTGAATATATTTACTCCATGGTAAACAGTATTCTTCATTCATAAAATTATAGCCTTCTTAGAAGATTTACCTGGTGATGCTCCGGTCCTTAACTCAAATAAGTTTTGTTTTTATTCATTTAAATCTTTGTTCTGGAGTGAGGATGAGGATTTCAGTGTGCAAGTGGCCTTGGAGAGAGAGGACAACGGCAGTCCTCTCTCACCATAGTAGCGTGGGACCAAGTGAGAAGTGCCTGTCCATGGTCACGGCAGTGGGCACAGCCAGGGGAGGGGTTCATGTCCCCCAGGTGGGGAACAGGAAGACAAACTCTCTGAAATATATAGTTGGCCCTTTCTCCACCACTGCCCCTGCTGGCCAAATGGGATTATAGCTATCCTGGTTCCCATCTTTGGTCCCTTGCTGCCCCCTGTGGTCATTCTACAGTATAACTGTCCCTTCTACCAGAGTCCTCCCTTTCTATTTCATGAGAAGTAATCTAACTCCAGGCACATCCCATTGTTTTGGCACAACCAAATCCTTACCTTGCTTTAAATTATAGTAAGAGGAAGCTGCATACCAAATTTGGTGGTCCCCTAGCACTTACTGTTTAGGAGGAGGAGTTCTTGAACAAATGGACTCGTGTGGATGGACACACAAAGTTTCTAAAATATATAGTAGTTTTGTTATTGTTAGAGGCAAGATGCTTTCTTTAGTATTTAATAAGGATGTTAAAGACCAATCGACTATCCGATAAGCATTTCCTTATCAGATAGTAATCATAGAATCATAGGACTGGAAGGGACCTCAAGAGGTCGAGTCCAGCCCCCCACCCTCAAGGCAGTACCAAGCTCCGTCTACACCATCCCTGACAAATGTCTATCTAACCTGTTCTTAAATATCTCCAGAGAGGGAGATTCCACCACCTCCCTTGGCAATTTATTCCAATATTTGACCACCCTGACAGTTAGGAATTTTTTCCTAATGTCCAATCTAAACCTTCCCTGCTTCACTTTAAGCCCATTACTCCTTGTCCTGTCCTCAGAAACCAAGAGGAACAAATTTTCTCCTTCCTCCTTGTGACACCCTCTTAGATATTTGAAAACCGCTATCATGTCCCCCCTTAATCTTCTTTTTTCCAAACTAAACAAGCCCAGTTCATGAAGCCTGGCTTCATAGGTCATGTTCTCTAGACCTTTAATCATTCTTGTCACTCTTCTCTGTACCCTTTCCAATTTCTCCACATCTTTCTTGAAATGTGGCGCCCAGAACTGGACACAGTACTCCAGCTGAGGCCTAACTAGTGCAGAGTAGAGCGGCAGAATGACTTCACGAGTTTTGCTTACAACACACCTGTTGATACAACCTAGAATCATATTTGCTTTTTTTGCAACAGCATCACACTGTTGACTCATATTCAACTTGTGGTCCACAATGACCCCTAGATCCCTTGCCGCCATGCTCCTTCCTAGACAGTCGCTTCCCATCTTGTATGTATGGAACTGATTGTTCCTTCCTAAGTGGAGCACTTTGCATTTCTCTTTATTAAACCTCATCCTGTTTACCTCTGACCATTTCTCCAACTTGCTAAGGTCATTTTGAATTATGTCCCTATCCTCCAAAGAAGTTGCAACCCCACCCAGTTTGGTATGATCTGCAAACTTAATAAGCGTACTCTCTATCCCAATATCTAAGTCATTGATGAAGATATTGAACAGTACGGGTCCCAAAACAGACCCTTGAGGAACTCCACTTGTTATCCCTTTCCAGCAGGATTTAGAACCGTTACCAACAACTCTCTGACTATGGTTATCCAGACAGTTATGCACCTACCTTATCGTAGCCCTATCTAAGTTATATTTGCCTAGTTTATCAATAAGAATATCATGCGAGACCGTATCAAATGCCTTACTAAAGTCTAGGTATATGACATCCACCGCTTCTCCCTTATCCACAAGGCTCATTATCCTATCAAAGAAAGCTATCAGATTAGTTTGGCATGACTTGTTCTTCATAAACCCATGCTGGCTATTCCCTATCACTTTATTACCTTCCAAGTGTTTGCATATGATTTCCTTAATTACCTGCTCTATTATCTTCCCTGGGACAGACGTTAAACTGACCGGTCTGTAGTTTCCTAATCAGCTGTGCAGCTACTGCTCCTTTAAAACTGCTGCCTCCATGCAATTCAAAGGGTCAGGGGAACCCATAGTATGGAGCCCTGGGTCAGCGGGGGACTTATAGTCCCCCACTGACCCCAGCCTCTATGACTTTGAAATGCACAAGGGCACCCGCGTGCAGCCCGGAGTCAGCGGGACTTCCCACTGGCCCGGGCTGTACACGGAGTTCCTCATTCCTCCTTTGAAATGTACAAGAGCCCCTTGACTGTAAATTCCATCGACTAGTCAATTAACCACATTTTAACATCCTTAGTATTTAACAAACAGTGGGGAATATTCAGTTTCATACATTAGTACTAATTTTTTCAGATTTTGTCTTCCTTCTATCCTCACTTCCTTCCCTCCTCTGCCAAAAACTCTTAACCTCTGATTCCACAGCCACTTAAAAAAAGGGGGGGCTTGGTTCCATATAAGGATATTGGTATAGGAGGAAGATTGCCAAATGACCAGAATTGCTTGTTCATGTTTACTCTTTGCATTTCTTGTGTATTTCCTCTCTTGCCCTGTACAAAATTGTTTTATCTGTATTTAATCTGCTCAGTGCTTACAGACTTATGTTCTTTTGTATGTTTGATTCCTCTGATTTTGGTTTCATCCAGAAATCTGATTACTCCTGAACTTACACCCAACAAAGAGAGTCCAAATGTTGCTACAAAGTGTGCTGAGAGGTGATTGACAAAAGTTGGGTGGAGCACTAGTAGAGCCTCTCCAAACCTGAAGAGCCCATATCTAGGCTAAAATTAACCATTGTTTCGTAAACACTAACAGTTGCTTGAAAAAAGGGAGAGAAGCAGTTTCTGGGACAGGATGAAAATGTTCCAAAGATGACAATTTGAGGTTCATAGCTCCTGGATCTAAATGAGGGGATGTTGGACTAGCAGCTGATGGGAGTGAAGAATTGGGCTGTGCCCACGAAAGCTCATGATACCATCTGCATGTTTTGTTAGTCTTTAAAGTGCTACCAGACTATTTGTTGTTTCTTGCATTAAAGTCCGTCTCCCTTATGTATCTCTCCTGTCTTCCTCTCGCTCCTTAATACCTTTTAAGGCACATACTTGTTCTTCAGTCCTTAATCTGATTAGTTGGTATATTGTAGCTCTTTGCTTGAGCTCTCTTGTTTTTACATTTAGCTCTTCAAGGAATGGACCAAGTCGTCTTCATACATGTTTTGGAAAGCTCCTGGTACAGTATAGGCACTGCACAAGGATATTAAAATGTTAACTCTAGTGAAATGCTGGATTACATGAATTAATGCAATGGTTCTCTATCAGTGTAGCAGAAAGCAGTGATGACAAGAACGTCTTGCTATGGTTAAACTGAAAAGTATTGGAACTCCAACAAATACCTGAGGGTGGCTTCGTGGATGGAATTTAGCATTGAACCATTCTGTGAGACTCATACTCCAGTTTCCATCCTTTGTCAGTAGTTTGATGCGCAACCCTTTTAACTTTGTGTATTTTCATTTTTCCGTGTAGAGAAGGGAAACTCTTACAAGCTCCTCGTGGACGTCTAATGCTACCTGTTTGCCATTACAGAAGTGTGATGGCTAAGAAATGACCATTTTAAAAAATCAGATTAAAATACAAATTCACAGCATCACAAACTACTAAACAAATGTGACCTTGTATTGATGTAGTGAAGAAAATGGGATAGCTGTCTGTGGAGAATGTGTACACTGTCACGTCCTGAGGTGCTAAGAGTTTTATG